GTGTGTTGGAGAATCACTTTGACATAAGTCTTATTTATAGATACGGAGAGAGAGAGGTTGAGGAGTAAATGTCTCTGTCATAAAAATATTGTTCTTCCTTTACAATTCATATATCATAAATTATAAGGTATGTTTTTAATATTTTACTTTATAGTTGGGTTCCTTTCCGTGTTAACCAACGTATGATATATTAGTATAACTTATTTTTTAACATGAGTTTTTTTAGACGACCTAAAAGGTGTATACCTAATGTCTATATTTAAACTAGCTATGAGAAACCTCATAACACACAAATTCAACACATTACCAAATTCTAGATATACATAACTAGCTACAATATATACACTCTCACATAAAAATATCCTACACTTAAACAGAAATGTCTTGGTAACTGTCAAAACACTAACATGCGTGTAACGGTTCTGTCTAAAATCCTTGTGAGTATCTAAAGATAAAACAGCCGTTTCAATTGCAAAATAAATAGATGACTTGGACAGTATTTTCAATACTGTCTATACCAACTAACCTAATAAAATACTTTAGTAATCATTATTCAATCAACAAGTCAAAGTTGAAGTTGTTAATTATATTAAATTGTTAAGCCATGTTAATTGAATCATTCTGTATTTGTGCGTATCATTCTTGCTTATGTTATGCTAGGTTTTACGAGGATTTGTTAATATATTGAATGACATATAAATTATAATGAAGTTTTATGTTATTTTTATCAACTAAATACATAACTTTTAATCTAATATGATTTATATAGTATACAATCTAATATGAAAATTTAGAGTATACAATCATAATTTATGATATTAACAACTAATATGATTTTTTAAGTATACAATTAACATAGAATGAAAAAAATATATATATATATATATATATAATAATGTATTTTTATGTTAATTTTATAAACCATACATAACTATTAATCTAATATGATTTATATAATATACAATCTAATATGAAAATTTATAGTATACAATCATAATTTATGATGCCTATTTTTATTTGATTCAGGAAACTCAATAACAACTAATATGAAAATATTTAGTATACAATATATGAAATATAAATAATAATAATAATGTAGTTTTTTGTTAATTTTACAAACTTACATAACTTTTAATCTAATATGAATCTAATATAATTTATATAGTATACAATCTAATTTACATATATGAAAATTTATAGTATACAATCATAATTTATGATATATTTATTTGATTCAGGAAGACTAATTAAAAACTTATAGTGTACAATTTTTCATACACTTTTCAATATATACTCCCTTTGTTTTTTTTATTTGATGTTTAAGTCTTTTACACACAAATTAAAAAATCATTTAATTTTTCATTTTTAACATACATGTTTTATCATCAATATCAATACAATTCAACAAATAATAAAATAATATGCATAACTCAAAGAATCAAAAAACAACCAAAACATAATTGATTTTGCATAGAAACTTGTGAATTAAAATGAAACAAAATAGTTCTCTAAAATATCAATATAATGAAATAGAGGGACAATACTATGCAGTTGATATGTATGCGTTTAATTTTTACGTACCCAAAACCAAATGCATTTACCTGCTATCTGAATCTATTGACCTAATTAATCTAAATGTATAAAGAATTTAATGCCATTTATTTATCTGAGCTGTAATACAATTGTTTCATTGTACTCAACCTTCGAAGACCATTTTCAACCCAAAACTCCATTTTTTATTCTAAAATGAAGTTGTGTTTTACTCCAATCCTACTATATTTTGGAGTAAAATATAGAGTGAAGAATAA